CTAGGCTGAGGTTTATGTGAAGACACAATTGGTTGTACAAAATGATCGGGTGCCTAGCTTTATGTACAGAACTAGAGGCCTTGTTCCCAGACACAAGCCCCGAGGCCACACGCAATGCCAAGGATTGAATGCACTACAAATGCAAGGATATTTACAAGATCTGTGCTCTGCAGTAATGCACAATAACCAGAAGGCTGTGGAAACTGTGTGACCTCAAGAAATAATTCGTAGAGAAGGTGATTGTCATCCTATCACCTGTCTAGGACAATGTGGCAAATGTGCTGTGAAGTTGAAGTGGAAGCAAAGCAGTTCACAAAGTACTGGTATTGAAATCATGTTTTTCTTTTCACAGGTAGTATACCTTCTTAATCCACACACAATGATAAACTTGACCTTGAACTTAAAACTTCAATTTTTTCACAGCACTGAGATCAAATGTGTCAGCACTCAATTTGATAAAAACTAGGAAAAGGAGTGGAAATTTTGGTTTCTGAAATTAATGAATCCTCAGCCATATTTTGAACACAAACAGAATTCTTATTTAAAACGACTGTTTCATTTCTGTTCACACATTTATACCATACATATGTATAATTATTATACTACAGTTAATTGTTTTGTAGAAAATACATGCAGCAAATATATATGAAAAATGTTTATCTGACCTACTGTGGATGTTACAATAATGCACAATAAACAAATAGTGCTTGTGAATTATATTACACCTTAGGAAAGTAAAGTATGTTAATCATGATAACTTAAACATAAAAGCAGTGATAACAGTTCAGGAAGCAATCTATATCCCCATATGCCTTGGTCACCCAGGCTTGCCTGCACACAAATGGGGTCGCTTCTGATTTCAACATAGCCAAAGTTCATGAGCGGACCTAGTGCAGACTTTATCTGCCAAAGAGTGGACGGGAGTGGTGGGACGCGAAAGACCTGCCCACTAACCACGTACAGTCTGGCACACGGGGAAGCTACACCCTAGTGCTATCCCCAACACACAAGAAATCACTGATATGTACAAACCACGTATAGACAGACAGTGCTTTTAAGTAGATACAAAAAGAAAAGGTCAGATACAAACTTTATACCAAACATGTACAAAAAATAAATACTTATTATCACTGTACAATTCCTTGTTTTTCACTCTACAGGTTTTACACTTTTTATAAAAATGTTTACAGTAGAAATACAGTAGTATGTAACACATTTACAAGTTCAAGGATTGAGGAAGGGGATGGTTTGTATACAGGGGAGTAGGAAGTACTCGTATGTACCACGCACGATTTTTTAAAAAACACAATTATACATTGTACACGATTGTTCAGGGATTGAGCATGCTCGAGGAGATTCCCCAAGCGCCAGACCGGCCTCATTGGCGCAGACAGGTGGTGGTAGTGCAATGGGGCTGGCGTCATTAAAAGCTTGTTCACAGCCCCACTACCACTTAGCACAAATGCAGCAAGTTAAACCCCAAACCACCTAAGCCTCCATATAATGCAGGGAATGTACGCGAATATTTTGATCATGTCAGGGCTAATAATCATTTTGTAACTACACAATATCTATGTACATTGGTCCATCATCGTAGGATCATTTTACACATATGTATAAATATTTATATATTTGGTTTTGGACCCTAGGGGAAAAGCTCCAAGGAGCCAACAGATAGTGATATAGATTGCCTTGGGAGTGTTTTATAATATAAACAATCTCCTCACATCCCAAACTCTACAAATGTACAAAAAAACAATACACTGAAAATGAAAACTTTAAACAATAACCCTATCACATATCAAGACCTGCCATCATCCACATACAAAACATGACAGATATCTTCCACACATATTAATATTAAGAATGATAAAGATACCATCAAGACAATACAGATCCATACACTAAACATATCTAGAGCTTATTACTGCACAGTGACAAAGAGGCTGACAGATGGCCAGAAATGTATCCATAGGCAAATTCATAATGTGGCCACACCAATGAGATATATGTATGGGCCCCTCAGTACCTATGCAGAATGCGTAAGTGTGTGGACACACAAGGTTCTAATAACGAGAAGGTGACTGCAGAAAATGTGAACACTATAAACAACACCCAAAAGAAATGTCAACAAGAAACAAAATATATCAAAAATGATTTTCATACATGGGTTAAGGCCAAGAAACAAAATTTCATTGTTAAATCTTCTAGCATGAATCTCATTGCTTAACAAAAGAATAAGAAATTAGATCATCTGAACACAAGCTAAAAAAGATGAAAGATAGCAGGTGTGCAAAGATTCTTCACATTTATGTATACACAATAATATTATATATTTATATAAAAATCATGACCTTACAACATGAAACAAATTGAAAGGTCTTTTTTATTATATATGGCAAAGACCTCCAAGTCACAATTAAAAATTATATGTTCATTTAATTACAATATACTATACATTTAATAGTTGTTTTTTTTTCGAGTGTGTACGTATGCTTCGTATGTTTATAAATGCAAAGGTAAAGTTGTGAATATTGAAACATGTTTCTACATTAGTACAGCAACTTGTGTATCATAATGGGATTTTATAATTAATTACATCAACTGACACCTTAAAAGTGCTAGAAATGGGTCGGGGAGGCTGTGTTGACCACAAATAGCTTGTGTCACAAAGGGGAAGGAAGATTATGTGTCCATCATACTATTCATTATTCAACTCCATAAGAAAAATAGCTTAATTTGACTCCTCAATTTCTTTTGTTTGCCTGTACACTTTACAAGTTTGTCAAAAAAGTATGTTCAAAGTAGCTGAAAATTATTTCATTTACTTTACTACTGTGTTGCGATTGATTGCAAAATTTTTACATGATGAAGGATGCAATGTATTTTTCCTTTTGGAAATGACCACAAATATTCATATCAATATACAATTATAAAGATGATCATGTGCTGCATAAAGTGCAGTCTTCCAAACCTTGGGAAATAAAATTCTCTGAAAATGGAAATGTTTTAATATCCGGCCTGTACACCTCCCTCTGCACACCACAGCCATGCCTTGAATCTCCATCCAGCCACCCCTCAAAATATACACACCTACACATCAAGCCCTAATGCAACGCTGAAATGCTCTTGCACACAAAACAAAACAAGTGTTTTGCATACGTAACTGGAGTGTATTTACAAATTTTCTAGATTTTCCAAGTTGTCTATTAAATGGTTTTGATAGTGGGGGATTAAGTAGGAGATCATATCTGCATTTGAACAAATCGGTCAAAATTATGCTGATAAAATGTCTTTCCTAACAACGTGCCCCAATCGGACAGCAGGGAGTGTCATGATCATAAAAAAGAAAATAAACGAGAAAAAAAGAAGCATATTTTTAAATGGTTCCCCCATTCATTTCCTCAGAAATTGAGCAATAAAGCAGTAAACTTCGAACTTTCAATTTCTACAATAGCAATTTCTAAAAACAACCTACTAAGCTTTGTTCTTTGCATTTATGTTCAAACAAAATACAAGTGTGTCTCACACTACACAAAACTAAACCTTACCTTCTCACACACTTCAATTACAAATTAAACAAAATACAGTAAATAATTCATATACACTATGCAAGTGAAACTGCTTGCATTATTCTACAGGCAGGAGAATGATGGTACTCAGTAGTGATAGCAAACCCTGAATTTTATCAGTTCTTGTAGCAGCATGAAAGAGAAATTTACACTTTGTTCAATAAAACAATTTATCAACATCATGTTTAAACAAAACTGTACAAGTATTTTCACCTATGTACTTCCTCCTGTCACGTTTGTACACAACTGTTATAGAAATTCTTTTTAAAAAGTTAGCAATGGTATTTGATTTATACACAGAATCTGTATAATTAATGTACATCATTGAAGGTCTATGTATATTATGTATATCTTTTTGCATATTTAGTTTTTTTGGAAAATGCAGAAATCAGCAGTGATACAACCATTATTTTACATTTTATTCAGAATAAAACTGGTTCATTTTTGCCCCATTAAGTGTTGAAAGTTAATCTTGCATGAAGGTACATACTGCATGGATCTCCAAGTATTTACACACTTTAGTGCAATTACATGTTTTCTACAAACAGTAGTTTTTTCAACTTTCATTTTAATTAAATATTTAAAATCCCTTAGTAACTATTACCTGAGGGGTGTATCACAATTTGATCATCCTTCTGGGGGAGTTAACTTTTGTTCTCATCACCACAGACAGTAGAAATGATAAGAGCCCCTCAGTCTGTTAGCAAGTGGCTCTGATCCTTAATATATCGATGAACAGTGAACAAGAATTTGGCAACTGCCCTCTCTTTCCTGCATTATTTCCAAACACTTTCCAAAAAATGGACAAACACACACACACAAAATATTTCTTTCAGGGATCTGGAACCCCTCTAATTTTTTTGGCATCAGTCCAAAGACACACCACAGAGCCACAGAGATAAATATCACAATAATATTAACTGTACAATAATCAATGAAACATTCAAAATATACAAATAAAAAAAGGGGAAAAAAATTATTACCGAAAGATACACTCAAGGGAACCTACCCCTTCTCAGTATATACATTGGGAAGTACTCTCTCTCCACAATCATGTTCTCTGGCTAAACAATCACTTGGCGAAGTACCTATAGATTCACTGGGGCCATGGGTGTAACCTTTGAACTGTCCATTCCCTCATATCATTCAGGGTCCCACTTCCACAAAGGCGTTGATGCCAGTACCACCTCACAGATCTCCTACTCAAGCTCCTCCTTTCACGGCCATACCATCAAGTGAAAAAAAAATCAACAGATTTAATATTGATTTGCAACATACCATTCTCATGACCAGTGAATATTTCTTTCCAAATCAATTATCTTTACATGTCTACAAAGGAACAGCTAATGAAGCTGAATAAAAAAAATTCTGACAAGTTGCCTCACAGGACCTAAATTACACAGGTTCTAATCCTGTTATTATGTACACATGCTTGCCTCCAAAGCTATGGTGATACTCTGAGATTATACAATATACAACACAGAAATTATGCACTTCCCGTAATATAAACCTGCTCAGTAATACACATTTACAGAGAAAAAGTACAATGATGTAAACCCAACAAAAAGACATGAATTACAAATTTGTCCTTCACAAAGAAAGAAATTGTTAAAATTCATGTACCTGAAATTCTAAACTCTCCCTGTGCAATGACTGGGTCCCCAGGAAGCTGCTACTACAGTGCAACCCCTGAAGAGGCACGGACCCAGAAGAGGCAGAAAATTTATCCAAAATTACAACTGCTTAAAAATAAACACCTTTATACAATTGATTTGACTTGAGGGTGACATCTGCGGCAGAGATGCAAAAGGATGGAGTGCTCATCAGGTTTTCTTCATGTTGTCTTCCTCTATGGGCCATGAACATGAGCAGAGATTACAACTGCTTTCTCCACGAGCGCACACACATGCACAAGTAGCATCACAACCCAGGCTCCTCGCCGCAGTCCCAAGTCCAGTGATTTACAAACCACCATTACTGGGGGGTCCAATTGGACCCAGCTCTGTGCCCACAGGCCCAACACCTACCACCTGCCCAACGCCCATCTGCGGCGGGGAGGATTTCATGAAAAACTTCTCTAGCTTTGCAATGATGTGTTTCCCATATGTGTACTTGCGCAGAGAACTCAAATGAGGCCTGATTTTGTGCATCAGCACTTTGCGTTGTGTTGGCTCAGAGACATCAATCATCTTTTGTACAACGTAGTTGGCATACTGGTCCTTCATCATAACGTGCAGGGCACTGTAGGTAGAAACAAAAAAGAAAAATTTTGTAAATCCAAAATGACACAAATGCATGTAAGTAAAAGTAACTTCTTTAACCCTACAGTACTCGTATCCCATTTTGTAACACAAAGGATCATGCGGGATGCACATGTATGCCAAGTTAAAACAAAAGCCATTAAAAAACTCTTTTTAATAAGTACCATTATCTCAAAATATTTATTTAAATACTATGAAAAGGACAATAAAATTAAACGTATGAGATTTAAATCCACCAGTGTTGCCTCCCAGATGAAAACCTGGGATATGTTATTTCTACTAACACACAAAATATATTATTTCTCCATTAGTATTAATTATAAGTTATTCAGGCAATTGTTTATCACTATATTATACAGAGTCTTTAGCTTAACTCGCAACCCATGTCTGCATACACATCCTCTTGTTTTTCGCAATTTGACAATGCATAAAATACTTTTGGCATCCCTTTCACTTTTAGCTACTCAAGGCTGCTCTCAGATTTTGGAGAGAGAGAATAATTTAGTTGGAAGAAAGAGAAAGCAATTAATCCTTCCTTGTTAGTATTCAACGTACTGCAGCCCCTACACTGTAGAAAGTAAACACCTGTGTCTTGGCAAATGAGTGGTCACTTTTTAGCATTTTCTCGATAGTCAGTGTTTTGTCATTTTAAGGAAATTATATTTTATTATTTTTTATTAATTATTTTCAATAATTATTCATTTACAACTGATTTAGGGTTTATTGGCATTTTTATTAATTTCATTAAGTCTTTCTTAATTATCAGATATAATAATAATAATAATAACAACAACAACACATTATTGATATAAATAATGAAGAGGTTGACAGTAATGTTTCAACAGATATCTTCCCATTTTTTTCTGAGCTTACTTTCATTAAATAATAATTATTGTTACATTGGTGTTAATAAATTGATGAACAGTTATAACTTCCCTCCACATCTTCAGTATGACAGTTTTGTTTCTTAAGCATACTGGACAGAATGCCTAAAAATACATATTGTTTCTTGCTTATAGCTCTGCTCACCCTCCCAAACCCACTCACTCTGTGCAGCAGGAAAAGCTTCTGGCATGTGAGCCACGTACCTACCTGCCTAAGCTCTTGAATGAGAAACAGAGAGAAACAGGAAAAGTTGCTGCAGCTTATGACCTTGACGGTCATCTCCTCTGCTGTCTGGACGTGCGAGGCACGACTGTCTTGAAAGGTGGCAAAAACATGCGATTGCCAAATTTCAAAAACAAGTACAAGTGCTCTCAGACATGAGTTGCAAGTTAAGCTAAAGACTTTGCATAACATTGACAATAGCTTGCTCTGCACGAATTGCCTGCTTGAAAACGTCTATCACCCTTAACAGTAGTGCGCACACAGGATAATATTGAAGCTCTACTGATTTCAAAACTATCTGACAACAACATGCTTTCTGTGAAAAGCCTGTTAACAAAGACAACATGTTTCCTGCAGTGCCATGTAATACAATTTTTGATGATGGATGTGAAATGGAAACACTAAATGTTAAGCAAAATTAACATTTATAACAGTATATATTTTATATACATATAAAATTAGCCACAGCCTTTCACTCCAAAATCTGAGAGCACGCAGACTTTAGTAGCTAAAAGTAAAAGAGATACCAAAAGTATTTTATGCGTCGCCAAATTGTGAATACAAGAGGATGCGTATGCAATGTAACATAATTTAAGAGTATGAATTTGAAAAGAATGTAGTAGTCCACGATGCTGAAGGAGTAGAAAGTTGATTTTTATTTTAAAACAATGAAATTATTTTTCAAGCCACAAGGCAAGATAAGAATTATATTCAATTCTGAATTGAGAATTGCCAGGAATCCATCTTGGATCAGTCTCACTTACATTTCCAATTAAACCATTTTTATCATCAAATTCACTAAATATATTAGTGAATATTATCCACATTTGCACTGATATAAATATGAAGTAGTTTACAAATAATATTACTATATGGAAGAAATCTTTGTATATTGCTACGTGTCCCGAAGACTTGGCTCCTACACTTGAAAAACATTTTCACATTGTTAAATTAATTAGAAGTACATTTGTACAACTCACTTCCTTAGGCATTTTCCCAAGGAAAGGCTTGCTGAACATTGAGTATTCACCATCATTATAAGAAAATTAAATAGAACCAAAAAGCAAAAGCTTTAAATGCAGCACAGCACAAAAATTATCACACGTTTCTCAAGTTTACAAAGTTTCGTTTAAATTGAGATGAACATTTTCTTTGTCAACACACACTACATTAGCACAGAAAATGGTTTTGGTGATAAGATAATAAATAAAATGATAAATAAAGTCATTGTAGAAAATGACTGACTTACTTGTCATTAAAACTGCACACTTCTTCAATGAGGGCACCCCGTTCATTGCGAGTAGCGTGTGTCACACACTTCTCAACCACATTGGAAGCAAATTTATGCTGGGATAAAACCAGCACTTTCCCACGCACTGATAAAATAATCTGTAGCTTATCTTCAGGCTTGCCATGTTCTACAGAAAAACAAAACAAAGGACTAATAAATATATTCCCTAATTTATAAAGCTATTCAATTAAAAAAATATAAAATTTGTTTTAGAATAAACAAATACTGGAGACATTTCCATCTTTTCCAAATGCAGGGCGAGGCAGAAGGACAGACATTTGAAGAAAATAGTATTCGGACTCAAGTACAAGGAGTGGGAAGAGTGATGTAGTCACATGGTTGGTAGCTCCTGCCATTTTGTTTAGTCGAGGTAATGTATCCATGGACTGTTGTGTGTTAACTAACGATAGTTTTGTAAGTAACAATGAGCCTATTGCTGTAGTAAAGCGTGAGTTTCAATTTTGCAAGACATGATGTGTTTCCATACATAACACTATGAGTTATGTTGAGTTGAATCTTTTCGTTTACGCGGAACAGTGATGAATAGGAGATACCCCAGGGACTACTTGTTCAGTACGCACTCTAGAAAATGTGGAAAGAGTTCGACAGTCTTCCTCCTTGGTTGATCTCATAGGAGACATTTTGCTGTACTGTGCCTCAGTAATCGTCCAGTGAGGCGTATTTTACAACAATTGAACCATAGAGATTATGCACAGTGGATGAATTTTGCTTGAGAAATGAAGGCCATACTTCAGCAAAATTACATTATTTTATGTGTGATGAAGCTTATTTTCATTTGAATGGCATGACAAATCAGCAGAACTGTCATTATTAACACACTGAAAATCCAAAACTAATGCAAGAGAGACCATTACATAGTTCCAAGGTGACTGTTTGGGGTGCTGTAGCTGGTACAGATATTACTGATTCATACTTTTTCCAAGACGATAATGGGAATACTGTAATTGTAACCTCACAATGTTGAGAAAGGATGATTACTGAATTCTTCCTTCCTGAAGTAAGAAGAAAACGTATTCCTATCCAGTGAGTTTAGTTACGGCAGGACGGGACCACAACTCACACAGCAAGAACGTCAATGGAAGCAATTCAGACTATTTACCGGGGTCGTGTCATTTCCCGGTTTGGTTTTGTTAGTTGGCCTCCTCGTTCCCCAGACCTGTTTACATGTGACTGATTTTTGTGGGGTTACCTCATATCATGTGCATACAAGCATAAACCAAGTATACTTGAAGAACTGAAGGAAGCAATTCGTATAGAAGTCTTGCAAATTGATGGAGCAATGTTAGAGAGTGGGAGCCAACTTCTGAGTGCAGCTTGGGAAGTAAATTGCTGAAAACAGCTGTCACCTAGGAGATGTTGATTTCAAGCATTCATATTGTGAAATGGTAATATCATTTGAGTATTATTCTGTAAATAAATAATTTTTTGAAGTCTGAGTAACGACACTTTGTTCTTTTTTTTAAACATCTGTCCTTTATGCTTCACCCTGCATCAGTGATAACAATCATGAAAACAAAACCTGTTAAGAATGAGCTAAAATAAAAATCCACATTTTCAAAATGTCACAATCACTACACAATTCAACAAAATTAATCTTTTATACATGTTACTTTCTGCTGGAGTGACTCACCTAAAACATGCTGGATCACATAGTTTCCATATTGATCCTGAATCAACTGTTCAGTGTGCTGATGCAATTCTTCCAAGATGGGTGCTGTCTGCTCCATAGTGCAATGTTCCAAAATGCGTTGAATTACACGGCACCCATATGGGTGAGTAGAAAGAGAAAATACCTATAGATAAAAAAAATTCATAAAATATCTGTAGTGTTTGCTGAATTGAATTTTGAATCAAAATAAAATGGGTAACTTTTGCAGATGTACCTGTCCTGAGAATGCATTGATTATAAACTGCAATGCATGTGGATCAACACATTCAATGCATTTCTGAACAACATGATTGCCATTTTGATCTTTAACACACTTCAACACATGACCATCAAGTTCCCGCACTATTTCTTGTTGTTGCTCTGGAGAGATGGACTCCAATGCTTTCTGTATTACGCGGCAGCCATACATCTGGAGAGCCAAAGGCAACACATGCCCACGCACCTGCACACAAAACCACTCAGTTACAGATCTATCACTGGTCTAATGTAAGACCAAAAAGAATCAACCAAGGTCAAGATTTATTTGAGAAGTTTTTCTCACAACTTTCAAAAATAACTGACCTTTTGAGCTAGAGTTGTTTTCTGTTCTGGTGTTCCGAATTCAAAGAATTTTTGTATGACATAGTTGCCAAATACATCAGTCATGAGATTATAGGCAGCCGCCAAGATTTCTGAAAACACCATCTGCTTCTCAGCAACAGTGGCACGTTCTAACTTCTGTTGGATGAAACGAGATCCATGCTGGTCCTGGGAGAACTCCACGATGTGGTTCACCAAGTCACGC